ATAATGACAAAAAAAAGTTGATTTTGTGTTTGACTTGAATTTTTGGGTTGGTTTTGCAAAACCCCCTTAATTAATTTTCTTCAACTTGCGTTTTAGTAATTTGTTGTGAACTCCAGTTTTTCATATGTTGCTATTTTTTTATTTTGAATTCTGTTTTTACCACTATTTTGATGTTTACTTGGGTAAAGTTTTGTTTAATTGCTAGATTAAATGATTTTGTGATTGTAAATATATTAAAGCATGTTAATTTGTGGGCAACTAATTGTTGGTTTTGTTTCACTTAACTTATTTGAATCTAAACTTTCTTTCTTATTTTAGTTTAAAATGTTGGCATATTGAGCTCTTATGATGGAATTGATGGATTCTTTTTGATGAATAATCGGAAATAAATAATTCAACTATTTTGACAATAAAGAAATCAAATATTTCATTATTTTTTGAGGTAATGAAAGAGGTAGGAGTTTGAGTTATTTATAGAATTTGAAATGTAAAACAACTGATATATTTAATTTTCTGGTTATAAATTCTTAAGTCCATTTAATGTAAATTACTATGATTTAATTTGATCAAAGAATTAATATTCTATGGTTTCTCATAATTCATTAATCTGTTTTTGTGTTCGTAATATTGATTTAGCACACTGTAGAGATCAAAGTGAATGGGTAAAGTAGGGCTGGGCAATCGGGGTCCCAATCGGGTTTCGGTTCGGGTTCATTCGGGTTTCGGGTTTTCGGGTTCATGAATTTCAGCCCCATTCGGATATTATAAAAATTCGGGTCGGATTCGGGTCGGGTTTAGTCGGATTCGGTTCGGGTTTAGTAACATGTCCAAGATCCGGTTGAACCCGAAATAGTTTCGGTTTTGGATACTAATCGGGTTATCAGTTCTATAAATACTAATTTATGCTCAATTAAACTCACTATATTTTCAGTCATTTTATTAAATTTATGTATTTAGCTTCTACAAACCATATTGTTCTCCTTCAAAATAATATTGTGAAACTCATCTATCAACCATATAAGATTTATCAATGAATTATATGTGACAACACTAAACATATCATGATTAATGACAAACCAAAGCCTTGTATGAACGAAATATAATACATAATGAAACATAAAAAATTAAAGTTAACAACTAACAATTCTATAAATATAAGAAGTGCTATTTAAACTTTTAAAAACCACCTTATATAAACTTCAAAACAAATTTATTCGTAACTTAACTTCAAATGTAATGTCAATCATAAACATTAATATTAACCAAATAACACTATATATTAGACTAAATATTTGAGTTAATTATTTATATCATAACTAATTATTGTATGTACTCAATAATATATTAATCTGTTTTGAAAACGTGTTAGAAATTTAGATCGGATATAATACAAGTTTTTTTGGAATTTTAAAGTTTCGGGTTCTTTCGGATATCCATTTAAGTTCGGGGTCGGTTCGGGTAATACCCATAAGCCGAAATACCATAAAACAAGATCCATTCGGTACTTATGTCGGGTTCGGATCGGTTCGGGTTCCTTTCTATCGGGTCGGATTCGGTTCGGATTTTCGGGTTTGGTTTTTTTTGCCCAGTCCTAGGGTAAAGTATAGGGAACCAAAAGATAAAGTGTTGGATAAATTGTTATTTGTTCTGTTTAAAACAAAAGAAAATTATTGAAATAATTGATAAAAGATTTTGTAAATTTTCGATTTTGTGTGATTTCTTCTAACCATAACTACCTATTATCAGGAATACATAGTTCCATTTCTATGACTTCCTTTCTAGCTGCTTGCCTACTTCTAAAAATAAAATTTATGTATTTAATTATATTTATGTGTTATTGTTTATTTTACTGTAAACTAAATATTGTAATATATGAAACTTATTGTTCATAAACCTAGATCAATATTGGAAAAAGAGCATGTTATCTTTCCTCTTTGAAAACGAAAACTGGAAGAACAATTTTTATAGTGTCTTGACATCAAGTACATGATAATGATGAGGAAAAGATCACATAATATATCTTTGCGCACATAATCCCTGCCATTGCTATAAAGACAGTCAAAGCTGAACATTTTGGAAATATATAGCCCTCCAGGTTAATAGACACGATGGCCAACTTTTGGAATACCTGAAAATGCAGTTGTTCACACGAAATTTCTTTAGAATACTTGACGACGTGGTCTCTGTGGGAGCTCCGTTGGATTCCAGTCATCTTTACTATATTAAAAGGTACTAAGAGCACCATTATCGCATCACTTTAGGGAGTTGCTTAATGTAATTGAGCATTAAAAATAAATCAAAATGACTAATAACCAGATGGGCCGACGCTTAATTTGGGTCACAAAGGGACGGTTGCCTGTGCCACGTGTAGGCAAAATAAGAGGAGAGAGGGGAGACAGATGCGGTTTGGTCGGTTTTGTTCTCTCTTTTTTCTTTCGAAATCGTTTTCGAAATCTCTCGAAGACCGAAGGCGATTGTGATCCCTAGGATAATGGTGCTCTAATACTCCCCCCTCCTTAAGCCACGTCAGCTTTTTTAATCCTCCAATAGGAACTAAGTGTTTCGCCATGTCAGCGCCTCTCCTTGCAAACCTTTTCTCTTCCTCTTCTTCGTTTCCACCATAAACCGTTTCTCTTCCGTCCTTACCATCGAGAAACAGAGGTATAAAACTTTCAACTTTCATCACATCTATGTCTCTTTGCGTTCCAATTCTAATCGTGTTTTCTGTTTTTGTCCATTAATTAGGAAGTTGATTGAAGATATCAAAGAGTACGATGGCGACGACCCTCTCCTTCCATGGATCCAGTAAGTTCTTGAAAGAGCTTTGCTCGGACAACACTTTGCTCGGTTAATGAAAGAGCTTCAACAGACTGACTTCTGGAAGCTCCGGCACGCTTATTCCCAGGGGTCTGTGAGACATCAATCATTAAAAACGATTTTGGTTTAACTGATACATGTTTTCTGTGTTTAACTAACAGGTGCAAGAGTATGTTGAAGCTGCAACATTTTACAAGTTCAGTGTGTCAGGAACACTCTCTACTATCGAGATTAACGCTACTCTTTTACCTCTTAGTGACCCTTCTTTGGAGCCGCTGCAGATCAACATCCTTGACTATATTCTCGGGGTATGTGTATAGACTCTTTTGTTTCATGTTAAACTCTGTTAAAAGATCTCAGTGTTTGTTTGCTTATTTGTGCAGCTTGCGGATTTGACTGGAGAGCTAATGAGGATGGCTATTGGTAGAATCTCAGACGGTGAAGTCGAGTTCGCGCAGAGGATTTGTCAGATAGTGAGACAGATTCATAGGGAACTGTTCCTGGTCGTGCCGCAGGTGGATGATAGTTATGATATGAAGTCAAAGATGGAAGTGATTCTTCAAAGTGTGATCAAGATAGAGAATGGTATGTATTCATAGCGTCTGGTGTTTTTTCTTTTTTATGTAGGTGCTTATATGTAACTCTTTTTTACGTTTGTTTGTATATTAGCTTGCTTTAGCGTTCATGTGCGAGGATCAGAATATATTCCTCTGCTTGGAGATGATGCACCAATGTCATTCCTATTGGGAGGTGCTGATGTTGAATGATTTAAGAAGTGAGTTTTTTTTTTGGGAGGTATTGTGAGAACTAGGCTCACTTTAGTATGAATGCTGCTGAGGAACTGTGCTGCTGAGGAACGTTTTGACTCTGATCTCCAAAACAATACTAACTTACCTCTGAAAGATAATCACTTAACTTATATTTATATTATCATAGGTTTCTCAGAAACCCATTGTGAGAACTCTTGCTTCCTCTTTTGACGTTTTTGTTGACGATGAAAAAGAATGTACAGAGTAAGTTTGACAAATTTTGAATGTTTTGGTAGCAAGACAGAGGTGTTTTGTTACTTACTTTTTGGAATATGAAATTGCAGACACGGAGGAGAGAAGAAGGAGAAGAGTGAAAACCAATTCATCATCATCATCAAATGCTCTGCCGCTTAATGATGGCCATGAGATTAAGAAGTAAAAATAAGATCTCTTTCTTGATTGATTCACCAAACAATCATATGATGAATTGTGTATCTAACTAACAATCTTTACTTTTCTTTTATTTCTTAATTGTAGAGAAACAGAGCTGCTGTGAAAGAAGCCATTAAGACATTTCCCACCCAACAGCTTCCTTAGATGATGACGTTCATCATCATCTCCACCAACAATCATACCATACACGATCTTCTGAGTTTGAGTTTTGTGCTTTTGTCTATAAAGCTCCTTCTATTTTGTTTCATGTTTGGATTTGTTTTAGTGATGTACTGAGGTTTTTATGTACTATGATAGGTTTTTTCATGTTTCTTTAAGCTTGTGAGTTGTTTAATTAATTGATTTAAGTACGTTTCTTTAAATCTCCCCCCCCCCCCACTAACCATGTGTTGTGGTTGGTATCAGCAGGATATAGCCTTATTTGAAAGTTTTATGTGACGTTTTAATTTTTTTATCGCAGATGCATGTAGCTTGGAAATCTACAAACTTAGAGGAAAAGGAATTATCATAATTAATCTATGATGGCTATTTTACGAAACTAATTTGGGTGGTTGCCACAAAGAAATTTAAATTACAATAAGAAGAGGTAATAATCTACTCTACTAAAATAGAGTCATTAAAAACCTACCCTAAAAAGTTAAACTGATTCATTAAATTTACCCTTTAGAGCTTATAAGGGGGTTTCTCTATGCCAATACTTTTCATATTTGCTCCTTAGCATATACCATTCAATAAATATTTTAATAAAACTAAAGATTATCACCGCGCTACGCGTAAATTACATATTTTAATTTCTTCAGTTTTTATTTTTAATTATTATTTAAATGGTTTGGTTATGATTTTTATTCAATTGTATATTATATTTTCAATTTTTTTTAATTCTACAGTTTATTCTAATATTTCAATTTTTTTACGTTATTTCTTGATTTTATTACTTTCTAATTTTTGGATCAAGATAGCAAGAGTTTTTTGTTATTTAAAAATAGTGTTACACAAACCAAAAATAGTCATTCAACTAAAGCTGACGAAGATACATTAAAATAGGCTTTCTTCTCTTTTTTTGAACTCCATTTACTTTTTATTTAGAATGATGTAATATTTTTCTTAATTATAATGTTTGAAAATGTGTTGAATTTTAATCTGTCTTTGTATCTAAGTATACACATAATTTAAATTGGTCTATATTTCGTAAATATTAAAAGGAGAATCCAAACTATTGGGCTGTAAATTTTAAATTCTTTAAACATATATAATTAATATTTTTATTAAAAATATTGAATTTTCCGAGTTGTGATATTTTCTACTAGAGAAAATATTTTATTGCCATATCATTGTAGCCTCAAACAATGATAAAAAGTATTATAAAAATTAATTTTATAGTTATACATATATATAGATACTTAACTTAAAATTAAACTAAATTTACAACTCAGTTGGGCCGGTGTGACAATTGACCTTATTTTAATGTCAAGTCAATGTTCGGTTTGGTATTCAAAACATTGATGACAAAGATAAATTAATATCATGCAGTTTATAAATAAATATAATAAATAAAAATTATTCATAACAACAAAATCTATACAGTCTTAAATTTTTATAATATCCTTTTAAATTAAAAAAGTCAATTCATTTTATATACTTAATTACTTAATTTTAAGATTTTGATAGTGATTATTTTTTACCAACATATTGAAGATAGAAAATAATTAAAACTACAGATAAAAATATCACAGTAATTATTATGTAAGTTATTTATATCAAAAATAAAATTAGGGTTCTGTTAAAAAAACTATTTCTATCTATATTTTAAAATAAATTGTAAATTATTTGTAATATTTATAAATTCCTACTTGCATTAACTACAAGGATTTTGTCAATATTCATTTTTTCTATTTAATTTAAAATTCTATTTCTTCTGTTTTTAATTATACTATATATTATATCTACAAACAATATGATTGAAAATTTTATTTAATAGATTAGCCGCGCGTAGCGCGGCCAAAAGATCTAGTAGAACGTAAAAGAGACCGAACCTGTACGGAACTACAATAAAATGATAAATTAGTTTATAGACCACAAATATTTTTGATGTAAGAATGGCTGAAGAGAAACCCACCACATATGAATAAGTTTGTGTCATTCATTCCTTCAACTGATGAAGTTCACCCGAAACTGTGACATAAAAAAGGTGTCTACATTTATGGTATAGGTAAAGAGTGTCCTACTTCTTCATCTACATATTTACTCAATGCAGTACTAACTACTGTAATTTACAGATAAAGGAACACTTCATTCAAGAAATCAAGATCTGATCAATCTGTAATCCCAAAGACAAATCCTTTTTCTGATTCTTGAGAAAGAAGTTTGGTGACTATGTGTTCTGCCTTTTAGTTAAGTTTTGTCTGAACAATGACTTGCCTTATAGTACCTATGGTCTTACCATGACCTTGATTACCAAAAGCATCCCTCACAGAGAATGTATTGAGAGCTTTCGTTCACTGTGTTTAAACCCCTGCCCTCATCATTTTGAGACTGTTTTCGTGGGAAATTCAAGTGACATCGGAGGGTAACCCGAATCAATCTGAAGCGTAAAGCTGAAGCTTGAAACCCTAAAAACATCGAACCAAGAACTAAATGTTAAGCCACAACACACAACATTCTTACGATTTTTCTTTTAGCAAATCAAAACAATTTTTACCTCTGAGACTCTTCTTTGAGTAAATATAGATGCTTGAGGAAAAAAGCAGAGACGAAATGATGTCATTAACCAAAACTCAAATGATGCACTAGCTACAGAAAAATGGAACCACCCGCCGTAACCGAGACGTCTGGAAACCGCAGAGACGCAGCGGGTGTTTGGACAGTTAACCACACTGATCTTTTTGTAGAAGCCGTGAATTCTGTATCTGTCTTTATCAATATCTTTTCTTTCTTTATTTCTTACTGGCTCTCCTCTGCAAATTTTAACTGAAAACTGAGAAAGAAATCTTCTTTGGGATCATTCCAAAGTATTACAAATCCAGACGGAACAAAAAAATAAATTTAATTGTGAAATTACCAATCATGATTCCATTAGAACTCCATTACCAGACGTTGATGCTAAGATCAGACTAATATGGAAACCGAAATCCACTGTCGATTTTCCGTCAAATATGGAAACTTCGAGAAAAACCCTAATTTTCCCGAGGTCCTGGATCTCTGCGGAAATCACTGAAAAAAACGAAATTAACAGAATAGGAATGAATAACGAAGAACCGAGTTTAAATAGGTTAGAGGGATTAGTCCCAACTATAGGATCGTTTGTTGTGATATTTATTAATAGAATGTTTTTAATGCCCATGTTCTAGATTTGCTAACTAGAAACCTGAACTAAGGAGTTTAGATTATTTAAGCAACCTTTAGACAATTCTAGATATCTTGAATCTATTCTATTAAGCTAGGATTTGCTAGAGTACAGCGATAACTTGATCTAGGGGTCTATAGTGAGCATATATTAACTTGTGCATAAAGCTTAACTAGAGAGCGTCGATCGATACTCTCATTGGAAATTGATCGACGTCGTGAAAAGTGAATCGATCGATATTCATATAGAATAATCGATCAACACTACTATTGATCGAACAATCTTGTTTGGGGCAATAGATATAGTTAATAGGCTTATTCAGTAAAGCGAAAACCTAATGAATTTGTTATGTATCGGTTAAGCTCTTCAATATCATGCATGCAACTAATTAGCACCTATAGGATTATAATCTCCAATGCCTAAATAAAAAACCCTAAATATAACACCTTTCCAATTAAATTTCCACCTTCAATATATTTAGTGGAACAACTACCTTACTCAATTAGGATTTTTACTGTTATTTACTATTAATCTCATTGTTACAATTTACTTTAAACCAACCTAGTATTATTCACTTGATTAGATCTAATTGGTTCCCTAACTTTTCATGGATACGGTCCCTAAGTACTACAACTGATCTCTTGTTTGAGAGAGTAACTCACTCTTTAGGGTAAACATTTGAATGATATCAGAGAGTTGGCAAGGAACAAGAAGAGATGAGGAGGCGCGATAGAAAAGAAAGAAAAAAGAAGCGGCTAGGACTTTCGGTCTTCAGGATTTCTTTACAGTAGTTCGCTCTAGATTTCTAATGGGGATAAAAATGACGAAAATTCCATATTTTTATAAGAAAAGGAAGATAAATTATAGGTTTAACCCTAAGACGCTTTGAACCTAACGCATTTTCTCTTTTAACAACAAAAACTGTTTGGACTTTGATTTTAGGACGTCACATTAAGAATTCTTGAATCCGTCATCGACGCAGATCACATGTAATGCTAGACCAATGAACGCTTTAATAGAACATATTGTTAGAAACTGTCGTAGACACTAGAGACCACCTTCTAATGGCCTTATAGCTCAATCACTGAAATGGGCTCGCTGCTTTCGCACTAAATTTGTAATTCCTGAGTCAATTCTTGGTGAAGTTACTTACCAAAAAGGCCTGAATGGCCTTATAGCTCAATCAGTCAATGCATCGCGTGTGGAAGTCATGGCCTGAGGTCGTGAAGCCTAAGCAGTAAGCCCACGTGACTGCATTATTTGTTCAAACTTAGCATTGGCATGATAATGTGTTTCTTTCTTTTTCTTTTTTGTCAAAAATGAAAGCATACCAATAAGAATTTGGACAAATGTCAAACAATGACAGGTAATAATTCTCTATATGTGAATCTACGATCTCGTTCTATTGTTATAAAAACAACCGACCAGATTGTGATTTGTTATAGATATCTGTGATCTAAATCTTATCGAGACCAACTCACAAAACTCAAAAATTAATAATTACTTTCTTGAGTAAGACCATATATATGGTCGATGAGAGAGACGACAAGTTCTGGATGGGTCGTATACAATTAAGAACATCATTGATTGCAAAATTCTGTAAACATACAAATATCAACCAAAATTCTCAAAATCACATTTTAACGTGTCTGTATGGTTATTTTAATATTTTTAGCTGGAGAATACTGAATACCTTATGTTCTATGGGTCGACGACCAAAATAGTGTTCCTCACATGTAACTAATTTTTTGTCGTTATATGCAGTTTCTCAGCGTTTTTTTTTAATTACCTGGAGATTATGGAGATAAAATCCATAATCCTCAAGACCCAGGGTCCTGCGAGCATTGATACTATGGAGACAAGGTCTATGACATAAAATATCTCTTCTACGAAGCATCGAATTCAGGAACACAACAATACCAATGCATATACTTAAACCAACTGAACTACCA